CGTCGTCGTAGATTCGGTGAGCGATGAACTGGAGGAACGGATGGAAGGCTTTTTTTTTTTTTTTCCAGACGTGACTTGTTTAAATTAATTCCTTTCCAAACAGGAATGCCTTATGTATGAAAGTAAATCTTTATTTTAGGAGTTGGAATTTATTGCTGTGGAAACTCCATTGTCACAAGCCTGGCTGGTTTGATGTGGATATTATGGGATTTTATTGCTTATTCCATACAAAAAAAAAGAACAATTTAAAATTTTCACTTAAGATGGTGAACATAATCTTAGTACGCTTTTTTCTTTTTTAAATAGTGTAATCCTAAAAAAAAAAATGTTCTCGGTGGTGGTCAACCACCAAAGTGCACAAACCTGCACCCTGAGCTGACTGGAGATCCTTGGGCTTTTTCCATGTTCCCAGTTTATTCACACGTGTCTCCCTTCCCCCCTGCATGTTTTTAAGCATGGCATGAATTTGTTGGTTTACTGAAGAATTTTCTACTGCCATCTAGTGGGCAAATGTGTACCATACGCCAAAAAATAAACAAAAAAACGTCCACAATCTAACTTGCTTTGCCTCCATTATTGCAGTGCTTGGCTCACAGGCTACGAGGATCCTGTGATTGAAAGGATCAATGAGAGAATTGAGGACATCACAGGTCTGGAAATGGACACGGCAGAAGAACTCCAGGTAAAACCCTAAATAAAAACAAGCATTGACATTTACGAATAAAAAAAGAAAATAATAAGTGGACGTTTAAAAAGGCTTCTTGATTTTCTTTCCACATAATTATTGGCTTATTTCTGCATTCGTACAATTCAAATCACTTTTTATTTTTCTTTGACTTTATAGGTTGCAAATTACGGTGTTGGAGGGCAGTATGAACCTCACTTTGACTTCGGAAGGGTAAGCTTTTTAATTGTTGCAAGTTTACGTTCTGTTTTTGAGCTTTGACATAACATGACATTAAATCTGGTGTGCGACAATTCCACAGAAAGATGAGCCAGATGCGTTCAAAGAACTTGGAACTGGAAATCGCATTGCAACATGGCTTTTTTATGTAAGTAAACACATACAAAGATCAGAGCTGGCTTTAAGTTAATTGGTGGCTTTTGTTAAAAACTCCTGTTGCCATGTTGACGTGGTTTTTTTTTCACTTCTATGAATAATGTGCCAGCAATGTGATGTACGTTTATTTTTTTATTATTATGATGCTTGTTTAGAAGCCTTATAGTGCTAAAATGTGATGTGAAATAAATTATTTGTTCTCACTAAAATGAGAGTTGCACACCCTGAAAATGCATGCTTGCACAGATGATATGTTGACAGTCACCTAATATTTTTTAGGTGACTGAAATAATTAATTAATGGACAATACAATAATTTACATGAGAATATTTAGTGGTGCAATTCAGATATGTATTAGAGAAGCATTTCTAAATATTAAATTGGTAGGTCACTGTTGGAATATTGGCTGTTTTTCTTTTTCAATGAACTTAAATTTAATGGATTTTCTATAGGACTTAGATACATTTTTAATTGGAACACACCATTTGTCTCTCAAAATGTAAAAAGTCTAATGAGCCTGACAGTAAGAAAATATATTTATGTCGAGCAAATCTGAAAAACATCTGGTAAGTGACTATGTGACTTATGTTATTTCATTTTTTCATTTTTCAATAGCAAATATCTGGCAACAATCTTGATTGCTAAATTTAGTCACTAGCATTAGTAGTTAACTGTAGTTTATAAATAATTTCTCAAATATTAAATAGATAAAATAATAATAGTACTGTCCTTAAGTCCACATGTGTAATTCATAAATAAAAATAGCTTTGACTGCTCTGATGCAGGAGCACCTCCGGATCACCCAGTGGGAGCAGAGAATGATGTTGGACCAACAAACCTGTCGGCAGCTTACTTTTTCTTTGCTGTATCTGTTGCAGATGAGCGATGTGACTGCAGGGGGCGCCACAGTATTCCCAGATGTAGGTGCAGCTGTTTGGCCTAAAAAGGTAACAGCACACTACCACTTTATTTACTTGTAACATGATCAATTTAGCTGCATTATAAAATACCACATAATTCAATTTTAGACATTCAGATGTAATAAACACTAAATGGCTTTGAGTTTGGTAACATGCATTGATCTATAAGATGGTTCTTTCTAAATTATGTAGATAATAGTGTTTTTTTTTTTTATTGGGAGTTGATGTGTGAAATGAAACTATGCTAAGTCAGATTTATGCAGATGGAGAGTTGCCGCTAACATCTACCATTGATTGCAGGGTACTGCTGTGTTCTGGTACAATCTTTTTCCCAGCGGGGAAGGAGACTATAGCACCCGGCATGCAGCCTGTCCGGTGTTAGTGGGCAACAAATGGGGTGAGTTCCTCTTTCGGAGTTCAACCTTGGCTCTGCGTTATGACACACAGGATTAGTCTCAGTGGATAACTTCAGACTTCATGCTAGGATTTTCTGCTTCTTCATTTGGGTCCTTAGCATTGTATTAATTGCATATGTATGAATTGTAAATGAACATATGGGTTGGTGCTTTGCTGAAGTAGTTGCACCGCTTTAACTTTTCCACATTTTATCACTTCATTGCTTTTAGTTTTAATGTGTTTTGTTGGGATTTTATGAGAGCAATTGAAAAAAGGTAGTGGATTATAATAAACCTGAAAGAATTTGTGTTAAAAATTAAAATCTTACCAGGTGTACTACAGTAAAAAATGCAATCATTTGGGGGAGTGCCTCTTTGTTTTTGTTAAATACTTCAGTCCAGTTGGTTTATTAGAACCTGTAAATATCAGTTTTACTTTTGCAAGAAACTGCCAGTTGGATTTAGGTCTGAGCTTTGACTAGGCCATTCGACCATATGAATATATTTTTTTTATAAACTATTCCACTGAAGTTCTGGCATTATATTTAAGATTGCTGTCCTTCTAGAAGTGGTTTTCTACCAATAGGGTCTTGTTTCCCCATAGCATCATGCTGTTACCACTATGTTTCACAGTGGGAATGATGTGTTCATATTAAATTTCAGTGCTAGCTTTTCACTTCACCCTCTTTTTTTGCACCTTCTTTCATGTAAAATCCTAACACAATGGGTTGAAACTTTTGTGTAGTACATAAGCTAATGAGAAAAACATCAAAGAGTATGTAAACATTTGCAAGACTAAAGCAACTAACTAACTGGAATATTCTCAAGATGATGTTTATCTGTCTTCCAGTATCGAACAAGTGGATCCACGAACGAGGTCAGGAGTGGCGGCGACCCTGCGGCCTGAATGAAACTGAATAACGTTTTTTTTTAAAGAAAAACACAACCCTTCCTAATGAATCCCTTACCCCTCGCCTCATTCTTCCAAAGAGAGAACACTACAACACATCACAGGTGATCCATGGGGTCCAAATGGATCCTTTCCTCCCTCCCTGTCTTACTGTCAACAAACAGTCGGTTCTGGTCCTCACCCGTTTTCTGTCTGTGAGGCCGGAGATTGTTTTGATAACATCGAGCCCCCTGGACAGCGTCCGCGTCGCCGTGACAGATAGTATGTTCTTAGAGTCGTCAGATTGGTTTTGTGAAACGCTCGAGCTTTGTTCATTCCCATGAGTCCTTTGCACTCTGAATGAACTCCAGCTCTCTGTGGTGAGGTTATCCTTCAGTTTGTGACTGCAGGGGCCAGTTTCCCTCTCTTTAAATTGAATGGCATAGGATTTATTTTTTTGTTCTTCTTTTTTGCATTTGAATGTGGCCTATTTGAATTATCTTGTTTGACTGATGTGACCCTGAACCCATAGAGTTTTTGGAAACTGTGATGTTTTAAACAGTAAAAAAAAAAAAAAAACGCAACAGTTGTAAAGTGTAAAACTGTAGTAGGTTCACTGAATTTTCACTTTTAAATCTCAAACATTTTTAAACTTCAGACGGTATTTAATTAAAAAAACCTTAGATGGTGCATGAACAAACAAAAATCAACATGTATCACTGGTACAAGGAGCATTCAGAGCAAAGTTTTCATCTTTTGCTAAATCTATGCAGCACTTTTTTGCATGTCACACATTATGCTATTTGCCTGACTTTTCCCCCAGTGTTTACACTGTGACTTCACACTAAAAGTTATGGATGAGGTGGTGCATAAACAAGGCGTGTTTATAAAGTCATGCAAAATCCCATCTGCATACATTCCAATGTAGTCTGCTGTACTGTTTCATGAGTTCAAGTAGGTGTCTAGTTATCCTGCATAATGTTTGATGCAAAATTAATAATTGTCAGCTGTTTTTAATTAAATAAGAGCAAGGGAACAAACACTAGCCATCACAGCCTTAAAATCTCTGTTTTTTTTTATTGATTGTGGTATGTCTGTAAGAATGAAAATATTTGGATTTTCCAGAGATGCTTTTTATTTATATGTCCCAAGTCAACTTTTAAATATCTTTTCTATAATAAAGACCTTTTACTGACAAAAAAATAAATTGTTTATCTGTCTCTTCTTTCTGGAACTGAGGGTTGGATCTACTTTCCCTTATGTTTAAGGGATGGTAGAGCAGCATGACATAACATTCAGTATAAATGCAGTTTCTGATTTTCATATTTTTCCTAGGACATTGAGGGAACAATGAACAAAAAAAAAACAAAAAATAAATGTCAGTTGAAATGTGAACAAGGTATTTTTTTATGCATATCCATATTCTGCATAAATATATAAATCAATATTTCAATTTAAAAGGAAAATCACAAATACATCTCAGCTAAAAAAATTGATTGCTTGTATATTTAGATTTATTTACTTTATTCCATTTTTTTTTTCTTTTCAAAATTGAGAATTTATTTTGGGAAGAAAAAAAGAACTACTTCAATTATTAGGTCAACCTCTTCTGATAAGCAGCATTATCAAACAATAAATACTTTTTATTATTCCCAGCAGGCTTATCAGAGCGTGCATGGGGCCTCACGAGGAGGGGCTCGCCCGCGGTGTCATTCATTGAAGAACGCCACTGGTTCAGGACTAATCACAGTCATTGGCTCATCCAGCCTTCTGTGAGGTCGGAAGGACAAGGCCGAGAGGAAGGCACAGAGAGGAGAGAGGCAACAGAGAGAGATTTACCTTAAATCAGCATCGACAGGATTAATTCACCTAAAATCTTCGAGAGAAGAAAAACACCGGTGCACGATGATGACCCAAATAGAGACAACGGTGCACTATGATAACGGGTACGAGGATGAATACATGCTGCAGGAAGAAGAATGGGACAGGGACATGCTGCTGGACCCCGCCTGGGAGCAACAGCAGAGGAAAGTATGTCTGTTTCCTTAATTGTGAAACTGGTTTCGCTTACGTTGCTTACTTTTAAGAAAAATAAATAAATAAACAGCGAACAGAGGTTTTGTCATAATAACATTTATTAAGGAAATGTATCTGGAGGAGAATAGTGACTATATATTATAATTTTAATTTTTTTAAAAATCTGAATCAATTTTAGTTTTCCTTAAAAATTAAATAAATAAGCCATTGCCAAACATCAAGCAGTCGCCTTAACTGTACAACTTTGGAAAAAACGATAAATTTTCCGGTTAACATATTTTCAAAATAAAACACCCGATGGAATAATCCATCCTAAGGTGCTCCATAAGTGTCAACAATTATAAGAATTTATTAATATTCATTTAAATTGGGAAAAATACACATTAACAATTGACTGATTCAAATAATATGTTGATAAATATATGCCCTACAAAAACCGTTCCACTCTACATTGCATTGTTTCATGGTTTCATATTGTTTGAAGTTGAGGCTGACTAACAGCCTGAACCTCCAAAGTCACTACTCTCCTCCAGATACATTTCCTTAAGTGGACTTACTGGGATGTTAGCCAGTCAGTCTATTTGATAAGATACAGTGACAGTTTGAAGTATTTCCTGCTGCGAAGGATTTCACCTTTATTTACACAGGTCAATGTCACTGAGACATGAGCTCTTATTCTCAAGAGCAACCAGTTTTAAACAGATGTAGAATGTGTTAAAATAACCCATAAACACTGAAATTCATCCAAATTACTGAAAAATACCAGTAAAAAAATATAATTTAAAACAGCAACAGGAACACAAATCTAGTGATGCTTTCTTCTTTGTCCCTAAATGTCTAAAACACTTCTGATTACTGAAATATTCACTCTTTCCCCCGATTAGAAGTTGTAAGAAGACTTCTAATTGTCCAAAATCATGTAGACCCTGAAAGGGAATATAGAAAAAAATCTTAGACTGCAGTGCTTTATTTAGGCAACATAGGAAGTTTGATGTATTAATAAAATGCCAGTTATTCATTGCAATGAAATTATACCAATGTAACAGGGACAATCAAGGCCAGCGAGGTGAAGAGCTAATAATCAATTTGAGGTAGAAAGGTGACTGAAATTAGCGATCAAATAATAAATGCAAATGTGTTTTGCAAATAAAAATAAATAAATAAAAAAAACAAAATACCATAGTATTCACAAAGGACCTATGATCAACTTAAACAATTATAAGTGATGCAAAAATGAACACGACTAATTAGATATAATATGCATTAGTCAACTAAAACAATATTTCACACAAAACGCAGAAGTGACGCGTGAATGTCATTTATTGAAGCAGAACGCGTTCGTCAAAGGGTTTATTTTGAAGGGCGGCCCTCACAATTTCCGGGCGCCGTTCTCCTTGAGTGACGTCAGCTTGCCGGAGTCCAGCGAGGGCGGCTTTGACGGACGGATGCGGCGGGTACCAAACTGTCTAACAATAGCCGCTCCAGCGGCTCCGCGGACCGCCGCCTCTCCACTGATACGCCCGGAATGCGGAGCTGTCAACAGATGCTTCCAGCACATGGTGACGCTCTCCGGATCAGAATGGACGCTGCGTCTAATTTTAAACCGGGGACCAAAAGGCATTATAGTGGGGTTAATCCAGCGTCCTTGGGTTGGGGAATTCTTTTGTTTATAGAGACAGAGACAGAAATGTGTTGGAGTTTACCAGCACCAGCTCAACCCGATATAGCCTCGGCCTCCCACGCCGCCAATCCTGGTTTTTCTGAGCTTTAAGAGTTGGCTTGGGCCTCAAAACTGCACCTCCAACACCGCAGTGTCCTTTATAACCCCCTCACTGACAAAATGTGTATTTTTAGGAATAAGCTAAACGATAGTTTCGTTTCTTATTCTTTTTCCTATTTTTCAGCAACCATAAAGTTGTCTTGTGCTCAGCTCAGAGTAAGCATGAAATTCTCATTGTGTGACAACTGTGACTACACAGCAGCATCACTGCATTTAAGCTACAATAAAAACATCTAATATCATACATGGCTCTGTAAAGCGATTCACCTTGTTCCACACTTTTGTACTTGGGTCTTTTTGTGACATATTTATTTGTGATCTTTGAACAATATGAGAACTTGACAATATGCAAAAGTGATTGAGTCGCTGTCACACAGGGGTAAGCAGTAATTAACCACATTTCTAGGACAGTCGAGATTATTTTTTTTCTTGGCACAACCAGGTCTGATTTCTGCCAGGCCTGCAGAATCAAGAAATAATGTAAACAGGACAACATGAATTATCTGACAACATAAATTAAGATGACAGTGACAGCGGCGAATCTTCCCACGATTGGGCAGGCTGCCTGAATTACTCCAAGAGAGTAATCACTAGGCATCCTGGAGGTCACAAAAGAGCTCAGAACAGCTTTTAAAACACTGTAAGCCTAATTTTCCTTCCAGAACTGACTAAAACAGAACACAAAGGCCAGTCCAGCTAGGATCCCCAAGACTTTTAGCAAAATATTCTGTGGACTGACCAGACAAAAGTGGAACCTTTTGTAAAGTGTCAGTCCCATCACCATGGTCAAACAGAGAAGAAGAACATTGACTTGTGGATTTAAGTAATGATGTGATAAATCAGGAAAAATATGAGTGAGGATTTTTTTTCTAGCCTCTCTGACCCCATGAGTACACAGAGACACTAGTCACTCATTGGATGTATCTCACCAATATTTTTAGCTCCAATCGTCACTAGGCAATGGTTTGGGAGAGGATGAGGAGGGCGGCTAGGAAAGTTCTGCAGCTGCGACTGCGTTCAATTTAGAGGAGAAGCAGGCAACGTTTTTTTTTTTTTTTTTTTTTTCTAAACAAGTAGGACAGCCGCCCAATGTCACATACACCCCGGGGAGGGTTCACTCAGTGTGGAATGTGATGCCCTTCACTCTGTAAGCCTGTAATATTCTGTTTTTGCACCGGCACCCAAGGGAGAAGCTTGAGTGACTGGATGGACATGCAAATGCGGTCCTACTGGGACCAGGAATGTAAAACGTCTCATTCAGTGCATGTAGAAAAAAAAAGATTGGTAAATTCAAACTAAATGAGTTCAAGTCTTTCCTGAAGGACGTTTTACTGCTCACCACAGCTAACACTTCACATGCTAATGTTTGTATTATTTTTAGGTTAGACCTACTGATTCAGATCTATTTTCAATAAATCAAAATGCATAAACTAAACTGTCACAGGTTATTTAACAAAACAAGTAGATTTAATCCAACAGACTACAAAACCACCCACATTTATGCATATGCCCTTAATCATTAGGCTCAAAATGGATGTAGTTTTATTTGTAATACATTTAGTTTGTAAATGAGTAAAGCAAATATAAAATGTGGTTGTTGTTTTTCTATTTATCTTATTTATGTAAAATAAATAAAGTAATAGCTGTCATCTATTAGAACAGCTTAAGAACAAACTGCAAATCATTTATTGATCCATTTCTAATAAAAATTATGTGCTAATTATTTTCATTGCCCTTTTAAAGACATTCTTGACAGGTAGGAAATGTAAGAATGTTTCATCTACAAGGAAGAAGAATTGTCTCTTTGAAAGGAAGGTAAAGCTCCACTAAGGCAATAACTCTAAGTTATTGCTTAGTTATTTAAACGCTGGTTTTCATAACAGTAGGAATATTTTCATCCTCTGCTAGAAAAGCTTCTAAGTCCACTCAATTTCTTCACAACAAAGTAACTGTAAAGAGATAAGATACCAGACACATGAACTGGGCTTATAAGGGATTTTCACTCTGCAAACTAAAGAACCTTTTATCTGTTTTCATTAAGATTCAGAAAGTTTAACTCAATCTGGGTCTTGATTCCAGGTCCACAGATAGGCTGCAATAAAAGCAATCTCCCTGGAGGTATAATCCAAAGGCATTATATACAAGAATCACACCAGCTGTTAAACCAAAATGACTTAAAAACCACACACTAAACGCTGTGGAAAGTATATGCTCCCTCACAGATAAAGTATCTGATTAAATAATTTATCTGAGAATGTGAAAATTGGAAATTTTTGCATTCTCAGTTTTCAGAGAATGTGAAAAGTTTCAAATTTTTAAATTTATCAGGAAAATAAGCTCTCCAAACCAAATGTTGTGCTATTAACTGGTTGTGCCACCATGTTTCTCTTTTGTCTTATCAATCTGCTGAGTATTTTTCCAAAATTTGTAGATCTCTTTGAGATGTTTGTTGGATACTGTCTGATGACATTTTGCTCTTTTTCATCAGACTGGCTAGAAATGATTGTGAACATTTGCTGTTTTTCTTCTTCTTCTTATTGTTGTTGTTGTTTTTTTGCTTGTTTTATTAGGAACTTTACTCTGGCAGTGAGGCCTTACAGGGCTTTCTAGAATCAGTCATTCATGCACTCTTTCAGTAATTTTAGTTGTCCTGCTACTTTTGGTAAAGTTCACTGCTGTTACATGTTTCTTTCTTTGGGTATCATGGTTCTGACTGTGGCTTTGTGGACTTCCAGAACTTCAGAAATGCAGTTTAAACTCTTTCACATATAATGGATGTGACCTTATTTTTCACTTGTTACTGAATTTCTTTATGGTGGTGCATAAGATGATTTTAAGATGATTTTTTTCATACTTTTTGCAGACACACTGTTTCTGCAGGACTGGCAGTAATCAGGTCTCAGTGTCACTAATACAAATTAACTACAAATATGGTGAATCCTGGTAATTTGTGATTTAATGTGGCCACAAAATTTTTGCATAGGGTCAAGTGTGTTTGATTTTTTTTCTTTGTCAATTATTGTAAATTATCATGTGACATTAAAATGTGTTTATTGATCTAAAACATTTAATGCAATTTTATTATTTTGCTGTCCAAAAGCGATAGCATTGTTGTTATTTGCAAGACACCAACATTTTCATTTATTCTACATTTTTTCACGATGTAGAATAAAGTTTAAGAATTGATTTTAAGTAATATTTGTTATAGTTTTAAAGTTTCCTCCTTCTTCTTCTACCTCCTGAAATTTGACCTGAATTCTGAAATAGGTGCTATCTTCAGATATGATCACATGTTGTATGATTAGTGGTAAAATGGCAACAAAAAGTCAAAGAGGAATATTTTCCTTGATGTTGATAGAGATATTTAGAGTTTATTTTTTCCCTTTTCCATTTCTTATCGTGAGCTATAGCAGAGAGGTCTAAATTTAAGGCCTTATATCAACTGGAATGCGCTCTGGCCGGTTCCCTGGCTTTCATCTGCTCAGTGCTGAGAACTTGCTGCCTGTTCATGGAGAGACTTTATAAAAATACGAGGAAGACAATGATCTTGTTTTAGAATGGTTTACAGCATTTTAGGCCTCTGCATACAGCACATGTAGTTTAAAAGGTCTTTGCAGAGGAACTATTGCAGGGAAAGTTCAGACTGGAAATTAGAGTGTCACTGAAGGATGGCCTGTTTATAGTGTTGCTTTGACTTAAGGTGCTCTCACTGTCTGTTTGTGTTCAATATGTCTAAAGCATAAAACTTACGATTGGACTTCTTGAACTTCATTTATTTCAAACTTTGGGAAGTTCATCTTACAAACTAAGTCTAACAGAGGTGAGAAAAAGCTTTCTATTAAATGAAATTCATTCAAAAACTTGTTTTAGCTGACTTGTGTGACCCTTTCTTATTAGACCTTCACAGCATGGTGCAATTCTCACCTGAGGAAGGCTGGGACCCAGATTGAAAACATTGAGGAAGACTTCAGAAATGGATTAAAGCTCATGCTGCTCCTGGAAGTCATCTCAGGTTTGAGTCCCTCAGGAAACATCCTTTTCCTGTAAGTGCAAGTGATTCTTCCCAATCTGACATTTTTGCTTCATCACATTTTGCCTGTAGGAGAGAGGTTACCTAAACCCGACAGAGGGAAGATGCGGTTTCATAAGATCGCTAATGTCAACAAAGCGCTGGACTTCATCACAAGTAAAGGGGTCAAACTGGTCTCCATCGGAGCAGAAGGTACAGTCACACAAATCATCGTACATCTCTCTATTGCTAAAGCTACTGTCATGTAGCTTGAGCAATGTTACCATATGCATGATTTTATTGCAGGTCCAAATGTGAAGAAATGAAGTTCAATTTGTTTTAGGTTCTATCTTTACTATAAGGTGTGTGTGTAGACTATGATGGACCCTGTTTTGTATAGTGTATAGTATAAAAAGTACATCATGCATAACACTTTTTGAATACTTTTTAGATCGTCATCTCATTTTCAGTTTTTTTCAATGATCTCCTGATCCTGTTGTGTTGTAAGTTTGATGTTTAAACCAATCCCATGAGTGCCTCCAAGTGGTTAAACAGCTATTAAATGAAATAATAATAATAACAATAAAAATTGGTTCAACTGGCTTCCTATTGGAGAAACATCAAGCACTTAGCATACCGAAGTGAGTGCATTCAATCAGTGTCTGCAAAGCATAGAATGAAGGTAGCAGTGCCGCCTCTATACCCTACATATTATATTTTTAAATTGTGGAGCTCATCATGCCGATCACATACAAAAAGTGAGCAGCTTGACCGATGGAGATAAAACTACGTCATATGTAAGACAGTGGAGCATTGCTGGAGCATTATTTACTTAAAAGTCAAACAAAGACAAAGCATATGTGCACCAAACTATTGTTTATGAAGTCTTGTGTATCTGTCTCTCTCCTGCAAAAGAATTGTAACTGTTTTGCTATTGGATTACAGAGATTGTTGATGGGAATGTTAAGATGACTCTTGGAATGATTTGGACCATCATCCTCCGGTTTGCCATTCAGGACATATCTGTGGAAGGTACGATTATGGGTAGTTGGACATTGAGGACATTTGAAGCAAAACTGATCTTAACAGAGTGAAAACTGACAAGAAAAAAAAAGTTAATTTATAGAACAAGATCTTTCCCCAATTTTCTGATCAGATGCACATCAGAACTCACAGCTAAGAATTACCTGGGACTAGAATGCCATGCTTTTGTTATTTGAGAGTCCGATAATTGGTTCAGGGATGGGTTTCAGAAACAATTATAAAACAACTATTGGTGAATTTCCCCACAATTGTACAATATATTTTTCCATAAATGTCTTAACAGTGATATTTGTTTGTAGTCTCTGTCCCTGTTATTATGTGAATCGGAACATATAATTTGGGACCAAATGGCCCAGTTGAGTCTTGCTATCAGTGTAAAGACAACATTTTGTTTATAGAAAATGAGTATATAATTTTGTGCATTAAATTGGAGCCATATCTGAATATTACTGATTCAGATTTAATTTTTACAAATGTGAAAAATAGTTTGTTTAAATAAAGACAGCATCAGATCAATATTTCTAAGACTTTTGTACCTCAATGCCCTTATTTAAATAATTGATTAGTTTTGCATGTTAAGATAAAAAACTTCCTTTTCAATTTTTAAATTGCTTGCTTTGTTAGAAACATCTGCTAAGGAAGGACTTCTCCTATGGTGTCAAAGAAAGACAGCTCCCTACAGGAATGTTAATGTCCAAAACTTTCATGTCAGGTGAGTTTCAGCAATAAAACCTCCCGGGTGAATCTTTTTTATTCTTTTGTTGCAGTGTTAGTTCATGTTATTCATAGCTTGTGTATGTCCTCGTACTCAAGCAGTATAGCATCTCTTCAACAGAGAGAGAGCAAAAAATATTCTCTCAAGAACTTAAAAACTTGAGTGTAGCATCGATGAGAAGTAGCCAAGTGGAGCTTCCATTGTCCCTGCTTACTGCTGAAATTCAGCTGCAAAAATCTCACGTCTCACCTGACTTGTTGGTTTTTCTCTGCCTGTTGGCTGCTGAAGCTGGAAGGATGGCCTAGCTTTCTGCGCCCTGATACACAGACACAGACCCGACCTCCTCGACTTCTCTAAGCTCAACAAGGTTCTGCGTGTTTGGTTCATTCCAACTAACGCGCAGATTTAAGTAATATTAACACGTTTAACATTGTGTGAGCTGACGAAAAATAACAATGATATTTATTTATTTTCTTTTAATGATTAGGATTTGAGTTGTACAATCCTTCTTTCTTAAATACACCTTCCTGCCTGCTGGATTGTGTTTTTCCTGTGCTATTTAAAGTTTAGTTTCAGAGGTAATTCCAGGTATTCACCTGTGGCCTAAACCTAAAACAAGTTTATTTGCTACTATTTAAGTAATTTTCACATTATGCATGTTGTTTGGCTAATGGTTTTATTGATATCCTAATTTTCAGCCTAACATAGCACATTTTTATCCTAAGTGCATTCGTTTAGTCTCACCTCATGCTTCATTAGCCTCAGCCATAGCTGATTTGTTGCCGCACACTTCCTCTCTGAGTAGCATAAAGAAAAACTGTTTGTCTCTGTGCAGCCAATTGTATTCACCTTGAGATGAGATTTAATGGCCATAACCGTGAGCGGTTGAGCATTTACTGGAAAGGGTCTTGACCAGTCCATCGAGAAATTATATTTACGCTTAGAAGAAGCTTTAACATTTTCACCAGGCTAAGAGGAGATGCTTGCATTAGCATTATGTTGGATGGTAGTATTCTACTTCAAGTCTCATAATACAATGGCTTTCTTTAAAGCTCATATAAACTTACACTACCTGGCGAAAGTATTCATGCCCCTTGAACTATTCTCAATTTTGTATGTTTTAACCAAAATGTTTCAACATTTTATTGGGATTATATGAGCAATGCATAGTAACACAAATTATGAAATGGAAACAACATTATTATGTTTGTAATTATTAAGCGAAAATGCGAAAAGTCCAAAGGCTACAAATGCCACTGCAGCTTGTAAAAGATTATTGAATGTTAGATTGATTAAACCAGAGTAAATGCTCAGTCTTTTAATTTATGTGTGTCATATGAGAGCACAAAAATGGAATTCCTATTTTTCTTTTTCTTTTTTTTTTAAGATGTTTTATACAATTTTGAACACTGGACAAGCTTTTTGGATGACAGGTGAAACAGCTTCCACAAGTACAAAAGTCCAGATTAAATTCTCAAGGTCTGAAAACGCATTAGATCTTGTGGCTAAGGAAAGCTTGCATACCCAATCACAAATAGCAACATTCACTTTACCCAGACCGAGAGTATCCTCATGGTGTAAATGCAGAGCAGGGGAACACCAGCCCTGGAAACGAAGAGTGACATTTTCGTTTGTTTTGGAAACGGATGCACTTGGTTTTCAGCACAGGGCTCATTGGCGCTGACACGGAGTCGACCCTCAGCGTTCCCAGAAACATGAGCCTCGGTATTTGGAGAGATCAAACCGAGACTTACCTTTGGTATTGCCCATGTCGTCATGCCACGCTCTCTTGTTCCAGGGTGCCAGTCCACAAATGTCAGTAAGACGTTTGCAGAATTATTGTCTTGGTAATTGTTAGTGAAATCGCTGGCAATTCCGCAAAACAGTGTTTGTTTCTGCCATTTTGCCACTTTGTTTCTGCCATTTATTGTACATTTTAATACACTCTGTCACATTTCCGCCTGTCAGTTGCGCTCATGCTGCCAGGAGACAGTTACATTGTGAGCCGTTCAGCTGTTGAATCTGGCTCTGTGGAAACATGTTCATTAAGCTCACTTCAGCTTACTGATACAACCCTTGTCAGACTCTCGCACACAAACAACAAGCTCAGGGTATAGCCTTTTGTCCGTTCATCTGTCTGTCCATCCCACCAGTCTGCCACTCATCCTTCCATGCATCTATCTGGTCTACACTTGGATGTGTGAGCAGCTGGCCCTGTCATGTAATGTAGCGCAGGCCACCTGTTACCTTTTTAAAACACTCTCACAGGGACAATAGCAGCAGGATGATGGCATGATCTCTTTACCGCACTCCTCTCTCCCTGATGGCCCACTTACCAGCAAAAGGGTGTGATGTCACTACAAGCTTAGTTTTACAATTGGATGATTTACCTGAAAACTGTTCAGTCCTAACGCTGATTCGGAGTAAAATTTACAGCTCTGGGAAAAAAAAATCTATTTATATATCAACACTAAATGATCAGTTTATCTGATTTGGCTTTTTTGAGTACATATTTCAGTAAAATAAAGTATTGACAACATGTCTCTGAAATTCCAAGTAAAATTTAGTATTTATTTGCAGAAAATGAGAAGTGGTCAAAATGATTAAAAAATAGATGCAGTGCTTTCAGACCTTAAATAAATCAGTAATGAGGTCTACAAACTTGACCCTATTATGGCAGTTCTATCATGAAGAATGGGCCAAAAATGATTAAATATTGTGAGAAACTTGTGGAAGGAGACCTTACATGTTTAACCCAAGTCATACGGTTTAAGTAAGCAATTCCACAGAGTATTCGTTAAATAATGGCTAACTTTTGAATTTGAGAAATAAATCTTTCTGATGATTCTTGCATTTAATTAGCAGAAATAATTTTGGTAATCCTCACTGACTTAAAATAGAAACAGTGAGAAAAAGAGGTCGGCTTTTAATACGGTAAAGTTACATGCTGTAAAGAGTTAATTCAGTCACATGCAGTTGACTGAATTAACTTTAAACCAGCTTTAGCTTCTATACATATTTGCATTCAAAGTAGCAGTATTTCTATTAATACTTTAAAGAGTTCAGAGTCTTAAGGTTCTCCGAACTTGTCCATTATAATCTCTTGTGACATCACAAACTAAAACCATTAACAGTACCAAGTGTGCCTTTTTCAGCAGAAATAAACCTATAGAAATTAGAAGTCAGACAACTTCTACATCTCACATCTCGACACACTGACATTTCACAGTTTTCTTCGTTAAAAAGCTTGAGATAATCTTTAAAGCTGCATGGGAGGCATTAGATGAGCCAACATTGCTCCCTGTGTGTCCTTAACCCTTATCCTTGAGTGTAACTATGCAGAAATTTGTTTACTATTTTTAGGATGATCCTCTGGGGAACCTGAACCTGGCTTTCGACATAGCTGAAAAACACCTGGACATTCCTAAAATGCTGGACGCAGAAGGTATTGTTCTCTGGAAGTCCCAAAAATAAAATCCTGCCATCCATTTTTTACTAGAGATGGAATGATCAAGGTTTTGTGGCTCATTTCTGACCATCTGTATTCATAACATTTTGACCTGCTAATTTAAATTTTCCCCCGTTCAGATTTTATCTCTGAGAACTACAGTGTGAATTGCTGTGAACGGCAATTAATTATTTACATGCATTTGGTTTCAGAAGCAATATTACACAGTGTCAGAGAGCAGAAGCAAAGACAAAATGGTTGTGGTAAAAAATAGCTACAACTTTAAATATTCTTGGTTGTCAAACTGTGACACAAGCGTCACTAGTGTACTTAAGCTGCCGTTAGTGGCATTCAGAGAAAATTGGGATATTCAGCTTTTTTATAAAAGTGAATTTGGATTAATTAACTGTGATAGAGAGTTAGCCAAACAATGGTTTGTTCATCATAAACCAACAGCCACAACTGATTGTAGCATCACTGAAATGTCCGTAGGCAGAGTAGCACATGCTGAGGTATTACTAGTGATTTAAAGCTTGAGAAACACTCCCTTTGACCCAAACCTCAGTCCCCAGGACATTTTTGCTTATTTTACGTATAGAAACAATTCAAAACATCCTGTGATAATCTACTTTTGCCCATTTTTTCTAGAATGCTTTAAGCTTTCAATATCTAAAGAGGTTATTAAAACTGATATTTCCTCTAAGGCATCAGTATTTCCAGATCAAACATATTCCATTACAGATGGAGGTTGAATAATTACAGGAGTAAAACTTAAGAATGTTTCTCTCATGCATTTATTAGATTATGTTATCATCTGATAAAGGGTTTCAGAGTAGCAACCAGCGTGTCTTGGCTTTAACAAATGTTAATTTTAAATACTTCCCCAAGAAACACCCCACTAACATGGGAAATTCTAAAGTTTTGAGTCTTTCCTTTGCTCTCTTATTGTTTTATTTATGCAATTTCTACATAAGTCTTCTTTTTATTGCTGTTCTTCTGTTTGTTTCTCTCTTTCTGCTCCGCTTGTATGGCTCAGATATCATCAACACTCCCAAGCCAGATGAGAGAGCCATCATGACCTACGTCTCCTGCTTTTACCATGCTTTTGCTGGAGCCGAGCAGGTATCGGTTGGGAATCCGTCCTGTTACCACACTTTTTTTTATTTTATTCTCGCAAAGGCTTTCCAAGAACATGGCAGGGTGCAGAAATAAGCTGTCAGTTAGATTTGGACGTGGGTTGCTGATCAGCCAAAAGGCTGTGAGCAAAATGGTTTATTTTATGTATTTATAATGACATATCGTTGGACAAGCCTTGCTGCTTCATTCTGCAGATTTAAATACATTATTGTCATGCTCTGTTCCCTTAGGCAGAGACGGCGGCCAACAGGATCTGCAAGGTGCTTGGTGTTAATCAAGAGAATGAGAAACTGATGGAGGAGTATGAGAGACTGGCCAGTGAGGTAAAGTTTCTTGTCTTTCTTTTTTGGATCCATAAACGTAGCTCAAAGAAAAAAAAAAAAAAAAGACATCTCAGTTCTTTCTACATTATATTCCATAATACTGAGGGCCCCTGGAGGAGAAATTAATTATTCATCATAGATTTTCTTAAGAAGCTTTCCCGGCCTCCAAGTTAGCTACATTTTGTCTCCAGCTGCTGGAGTGGATCCGTCGCACCACTCCCTGGCTGGAGAACCGGACTGCGGAAAAAACCATGGCGGAGATGCAGCGGAAGCTGGAGGACTTCAGGGACTACAGACGCCAACACAAACCCCCGAAAGTTCAGGAGAAATGCCAGCTGGAGATTAACTTTAACACCCTACAGACCAAGCTACGCATCAGCAACCGTCCTGCTTTTATGCCCTCAGAAGGGAAGATGGTTTCTGTAAGTCGTAAGCTTCTTTTCTCCTCATTATTATTAGAAAATAAGTTATTTTTTATTTTTGTATTTTTTTTTTTTAGCTTAAGTTACTTTGTATTTGGGAAATGGAGCATGCAGAGCACCAAACAAGATTGATTTGAACTCTTGCCTATAACAATTAAAAAACAGAAATCTATGATGCACTTTTAATGTGTTCTCAGGATATAACCAGTGCCTGGCAGGGCCTGGAGCAGGCAGAGAAAGGCTTCGAGGAGTGGCTTCTGACTGAAATCCGCAGACTTGAGAGGCTGGATCACCTGGCTGAAAAATTTCGTCAAAAAGCCACCAATCACGAGAACTGGGCCAGCGGTTAGTATCTACTTAGTTTTTCCCAAACTGGGTTTCAGTTTGATATTTGATATTTTTTTGAAACGTTGATGCAACACTTGAAAAAAGTATGAAATATTGAGTCAAAGTTATTTTGGTTTAAGAGTCATTTTTACAAATGCGGCACAAAACTATTCCATTTACCAACTGAAGATTTTGTCTCTTTAAAACCATAAAAATTAATTATGGAAATCGGTCTACATTTGAAAGATCCCCCTGCAGAACTTTACAATCTACCCAATTGAATTTGGAGCAGAAAAATGCAAACCTGGGAAATTGCAAAGAAGAAACATGCAGGCAAAAAAGTGAACAAAAACTCATGCACTGAAAAAAAAGATCAGTGAACACATAAATGTTTGTAAGAGAACTGAAGGAAACTGGATTTTTGTACAAAAAAAAAGTAAATCATTAACTCCTGAACAAAGTTCAGATCACGCTCTCATTTTAGATGTTTTTGGCTTCTGTTTATGTCAGACACCTTCACTTATTGGTTTCTTCAGGGAAAGAGCTGATCCTCATCCAGAAGGACTATGAGTCGGCCACTTTGACAGAAGTTCGAGCTTTTCTTCGAAAACATGAGGCCTTCGAGAGTGATCTGGCAGCCCACCAGGACAGAGTGGAGCAGATTGCTGCCATTGCACAGGAACTAAAGTATGTGGTCCTTGTACCAGATGTGTGCACTCATCTGTCACTCTGAATCAGAGAGAGGACAATACTAAGGTTCTGTCTTATAAATATTATATAAATTGCAATTTGGCAACAGTCTACACTTAGCCTACAAGGTTCAGACGATGAATAACAATTAACCGGTAATTGTAAAGTGTTTCTGTAACTCTACATTTAAAATGTTTCTGGGCTAATCATCTTTAAATCTCGAGCCATGTTCATTTTTTTAAGCTCGGCAATATTATTAAAAAAGAAAAATCAAATGACCAGTTTAAAAGAAAAAAAAATCTATCAAATTCAAAATGATTTTAATGTGTCCTCAGGATATAAAAAGCATGAAAACAATCATCAGTAAGCACAATAATAAAACGTTTAATCAAGTAAAGCACATGCAAAACAAAATTTAAGTATCAGTTCAAATGCACAAATACTTAAACAGGTATGTACAACAAAATGAGACATAATTAGTTACTTTTAAGTAAAAATGGGAGTAAGATAAAAATATATTTGCTTTTTGAAAAATCTTCATTTTGAGCCACCCACAGGTCTTCATGAAAGCTGCAGTGAAAGTGAGAGTTGTATTTTGTGCTTCAGCTTTAACTCTAATTTCTCAGACAATAAACATGCTGCAGATTCTAAAATACAAAGGTAGTGGTGAAACTCTAAAATTGTTTGCTGCAGGCTTGCTTTTGTTTCAGCATAAACAACAATTAAAAAAAATAATTAAAAATCTTATCTTTCAAAATATAAACTAATTGTTATTGATGCTGTTCTTAGAACATATTTTGTCACTGAATTTTATCCAAGCAGTAGGAACAAAAGGCTTTTCTTAGAGCCTGTTGGGATTTCAATCAGCAGTGCATGGCAGGCACCTGTGTGTTGTTAAGCTTTCAGTCTGAAGTTGGCTCCCGAGTGTTTCTGGTGATTATTTAAGCAGCGTTGAGACAAAGGCAAGAGAAGGTTCAACTGACAAGCTAAATGGCCTCCTGGGTTTGTGCAAGGTATGTGGACTGGTTTGATGGCAATTTTTTTTCTTCAAGTCAAACTTTCTATGTTTTAAAATTTTGACAGTGCATTTTACTTTTTCTAGCCAGTTGTTCCTGGTTGTTCTATTCAGCTGGAGTGTCCACACTGTTCCTGTTCAAAATGGTGGGTTTTGCTACTTTTATTTCTTTCCACAATTTCTTTGCCCCTTTTGTTTTTTTTTTTTTTTTTTTTTTTTTTTTGTATTCTAACTTATTTTCTCTCAACAGACTGGGGACAGTCTCTCAAGACAACTGGGAAGGTGAATCCTGGACCCCAAAATGCTAAGACTGAAGACTTCCATCCAATGTCTTCTCATCCAGCTGGTACTTCTGTATCATGGATGGTTGTTAGACCCCAACACCAAAGTTTATTTTTGCAACCCTCCAATCAAACACGACCTGTGGTCTCTCTCGTGCCTGAACCTTCCAAACTCCTTCCTGCTCTGAAGCCAGAAGGACTTGCTAGTATGTGGTCAACAGATGTGTCAAAGAAGCTTCCCCTCCCTGCTTCTGATCCTGAAGGCTCTGTGGTGTCGCTGCCAGTTGCATCTCTGACAGAGCTTTCACCCCATCCAAAACTACAAAATCCTTTTGAGATTCAAGAAATTACTCCTCCTCCTCAAAATCTCAAAGAGTCTCCAGTTTCAATTGTTGACCCTCCTGAAAGTCTTCCTTTATCACCTTCAAATCCAGAAAGTCCTGAAGTCTCGTGGCTGGTTGACCCTGCAAAGAAACTTCCTTTTCCTTCCAATCCTGAAATGCCTCTGGTGCCCTGGAAAGTTGGCCATTTTAAAATGTTCCCCCCTCCTCCTCCAGTTCTAGGAGGATCTACAGGTAACTGGTTGGCTGATCATTTGATAAAGGCTCAAACCCACACTGATACCCCAACAAAGGAAATGGTTGCTCATCCACTAACCTCAGAGGATGATCCTGTAAGATGGATGGCTCAGCCTCCCAAAAGGAAGTCGCCTCTTCAAAGTCCAGAAAGTACGGATCCTTTGGGGTTGACCACTAACGAGCATGAAAGCGACCCATTCAGAGCTGCTGTTGCACAACTCGGTGAAATGCCTCTAGAAAGCTTTGCCTCTTATCTTCCACTCACACCTGACCCCAGCCTTCCACCTGTTGTGCCAGAAGACCCTTCTCCTTTGAAAGGAGGCCCAGAGCAAGAAGTATCAGAGGGTGAAACTGAGCCCCTTGCATATCAAGAATCCTCTTATCATGGTGGTGAGTTAAGCCCCTACAACTCCCTCTACGAGCAGGGTGACTTGGAGCATGAAATGGAAGATTATGTCGTCCCAATGTACCTTTACAGTGCAGGAGGGATGCCAATTGGAGTTATGCCACTGCCATACCTGAACCAGGTTGTGCCGAACATGTGTTACTACTTGACTGGGTGGCTTCCTCATGGTACTGTGTCAGACATGCAGGCAAACTACGAGGCTGGCGGAGACTATACAACTCAAGTTGGCTATGAAGAATAGCCTTTCCCTGCAACTGAAGGCCCTGGTATTGACAGCCAAGCTAAGGTTTCTAGCTAGCAGGTGTTGGCTTACTGAAAAGCTGATTATCAAGTCCAGAATTAGACAATTGAGGGTTAAAGGCAGCTATAGTAATTTCTGCAGTTTACACCCATGGTCTTGACTTGAAGTGGTTTAAAACTTACAATAAAGAGGGGAAAAAGCAACTTTGAATGTTTGTGTGGTTCTTGAAAGTGCTTCAATGTTGTCTAAAAGTGTTTGTCCATTTAAGAACTGTAAATTTGGATCCAATATTTGTAAGTGGCTTTGGTTATTTAATGTAAACTATTTTGTAGGTGACTCTGGCCAAAAACATTCATTTATTTTATTTTTTTAACCATGCATTTTAGTGAGCTGGATTACCATGACATTGCCTCTGTAAACCAGCGTTGCCAAAGCATCTGTGACTTGTGGGATAAATTGGGAACTCTGACTCAGAAGAGGAGAGAAGCACTAGAGGTGAGACAAAACCTTTACTTACTTGTGATGAGGTGTAATTTAAGGCTTTCCATTCCTGAAAACATGCCAAATCTCCACCAGAGGGTGCTGATGTTTAAGAAACACATTTGCACGTCTATGTAGAACCCACCCAGGGTTCTGATAACCTGAAGAGTGTAAATACCTTCAAAATTTTAGTTGTAGAGTACAAATGTATTTCTACTGAAAATTTGGCTCATGTCTCACTAGTCACTTCCTCTGATCCAAGCTGGTCATTCCAGACCTGCAAATGTGTGAAGACCTGGGAGAAGTGCCAAGGATTAGATCTGAATGACAGTGACAGGGGTCATTTTTCTGTCCAAGCCCCTGCTCCACATCATATTCATGCCTGTGGGGAAGAGGCTTCGTCACTAACGACTGAGCCAGAGTTTAGTGGGTGGTGGGGATTAGCGTGGCCAAAATGGCATAAGACTCCCTCACCCTCTCCTCCCACCTTTTGCTTTGAGCAAAACCGGTGAGAGGATGTTTGGATTTTAGATGTGCCTTCCTCTGTGAGGTTGTTCAAATTGCCACATTACAAATACAAACTTGGGCTCTACATGGCAAATCAACTATAAAATAGTGCTGAGTTTGAGAATTTAGCATCTTTTTAATTTGCTACAATATGTCTTGGAGTCTTTTGCTACTGCTGAAATGATTTTGAAAATTATTTACAAAATGTAAAATAGTTTAGATCATTTCAGATAGAGATCAGTTTAAAGTCCTGCGACAGATTCTCACTTGGCGTTAGATCTCTAGCTGCTTCATTGTAATTAATTTAACTGGAGTCATCTTATTTAGATATGAGTACCGAGGGCTGAATAAAAATACCTGCTAGATTTTTATTTTAAGTGTCTAAATCACATAGCAAAATTCTTGTACTTTAAAACCATAGAGATCCTTGTATCTACAACATAAAATCCCCTACAAATGTGTCGTAGATTTAATGTGAAAAACACAGCAAGAAATTCAAGTGGTGTGTATACATTTTTGACCTGTGTAGCATTCCATAAGCCATGTTTTGATTCTGAAAATATATATCTTGTAATCCTCTCAGCGCGCAGAGAAGTTGCTGGAAACTATTGACCAGTTGTTCCTAGAGTTTGCAAAGAGGTCAGCTCCCTTCAACAACTGGATGGAAGGAGCCATGGAGGATCTGCAGGACATGTTCATAGTTCACACCATTGAGGAGGTCCAGGTAGGACTTCGGCACTCCCCACATTTGTATGGCCCTCTCATTGATAACGACCCAAGCAAGACCAACATCAGTATATCTTCTCCAGAGTCTAATTGCTGCTCATGAGCAGTTCAAAGCCACTATGCCTGAGGCAGACACAGAGAGACAAGCCATTTTAGGAATCCACAATGAGGTGCAAAGAATTTCACAAAGCTACGGGATTAAGGCCAACATTATCAACCCTTACAGCACCATAATGACGGAGGAGCTTCTTAATAAGTGGGAGAAGGTAAGTTCAGTTTTAAAACCTGCACATGCATGCATGCATGCATTATCTTCAGTTGTTGGCATTCAGCTGCTGGTTATTTCCTTGTTTGAAAGGATTAATTATGAGAAGAGGTGCATAGATGTTGGTGTTTAAACGCAGTAATTAGGAGATGAAATCCATTTGTAATTGTATAATGTGTAATATCTTGTACTTAAAATTAATCTCTTCTTAGGGAGAAATTTCTCAGCTTTCATCATTAGTAAAAAGTGTTTCATATGTGTTTCATAGGTAAAGAAGCTGGTTCCTCAGAGAGATGGTTCCCTCCAGGAAGAGATGGCACGCCAGCATGCCCACGAAAGGCTGAGACGTCAATTTGCTGCCCAGGCCAATCTGATTGGACCCTGGATTCAGGCCAGGATGGAGGTTTCCAAAACTTTAATATGAAAAAAATATATATTTTAAATGCTATACCATTCAGATGCAAGGTTCTTCTTGGATTTTAGCTGATAATTAAATAGCTTAATTAAGCACTCTTTTTTTTCTCTTTCTTTTTTTTTTAACATCGTGCCTACAAAACTTTATCAATTCTTTCATACTCAGATTTTTTTTAGTGGCTTGTGGTATCTTTGAGAAAACTGTGAATTTAAAATTAAATTGCCCCTGTTGCACACTGTGATTTATTTATTTATTTTTTTTTTCTGGACAGGAAATTGGGCGTTGCTCTCTGGAGATTGGTGGCACACTGGAGGACCAGATGACCCAGCTGAAGCAAATGGAGCATGTGATCATTGCATACAAGCCCAACATTGACAAGTTGGAAGGAGACCACCAGCTAATCCAAGAGTCACTGGTTTTTGATAACAAACACACCAATTACACCATGGAGGTACAGGATTGGGTGGATTAGTTCTGAATATATAAATAAAATCATGAATAGAATGCTTTAATTGCATGTGTTAAAGTAAATTTTTTAACATATTTACCAGTATGTGTGTGTCTAGGTTATTTGCCAAAGTGTCATTACTGCTGAAAGTTTCATAATTTTTCACACTACAACCACAAACCTCACTATTTTTATAAAGCTTTTTTGAGGGTTGGCCAATTCAAATTAGTACTTATAGTAATTGTGAAGTAAGAACATTTTACAAGATTTTCTAAATTAATTTGAAATCTGAAAAGTGTGGCATGCATTGCTATTCATCAGTTCTGATTTGGGATATGTTTAACCAGTTTTGCAAATCAAGACAGACTTTTTTTTCCCTCTTTATTCTTTGCTAAAGATTATATTGCTTTAATTAAACGTATCTGAACACGAGCTTTCAAGGCTGTGCATGTTCCAACACTTGGATATGCTTTAATTCAAACCAATGTGTTGCTGACCTGGTTCTATGTTTAGGTTTGTTGTTCTACAGGAAGTTGCATTTCTGGCCTACTGCTATTGCTGAGTATTTTTTCCAACCCTTTTGGCTTTTTCTATAAGCTCTGACCAGTTTCTATGTCCGCAGAAGACATACATGGTGCTGTCATTGGTTGTGATGTTTCTCAGACGGTCAATTTCAGTTTCTCTTGACCAACTTTAATCAACTGCTTCCACATGTTTGCCGTGACCCCTAGATGGTGGCAAACTAGATTTCCTGTCACAATGACTTTCTACTTGCCACAATATAAGGAGTACAGGACTTATAAATGTACTGACAACATACTCTCTCATGTGAGCTGCAGCTCCATCATAATTACTCTGGGACTCTTGTTTGGCCTCTAGTTATTGACTCCTGCCATGGGGTCTTTCTGCATTGAGTTTTCCTATTTATTTTTGGGTTCTTTCCAAGTGCTCTGGCTTCCTAGCACATCCTATTAACATAAGTGTTAGGTTAATTGATTACTCCAAAGTGCCCTTTGGTATGATTATTTGTGTGCATGTTTATGCATCCCATTTATCTCTGTTTTGGCCTGGGATGGCTTGGCAACCTGCCTAAAACCCTGCGACCACTGGAATTACTTGCATATTAATGATAGTCATATTTTGTAGATGGTTATCTGTAATACTATATGAACAGCTTTTTGAAAAACTTCTGGGTTGTGTTGGTAACGTAACATTACATTAAAATATGTTGATGTTTGTGGTTGTAACATTAGACAGATCTTAAGAAGCGTAAGCTATGTAACATTTTCTTAGGCACTGCAGTGTTTGAAAAAAACACAACCATCCAGTATTTTCAGATATGCTCTCCTCCTATTAACATATCTGCTCTGCCACCATATTTACAGCACATCCGTGTGGGATGGGAGCTGCTTCTCACCACCATCGCCCGAACCATTAATGAGATTGAGACCCAGATCCTCACCCGGGATGCCAAGGGCATCAGCCAGCAGCAGATGAATGAGTTCAGATCTTCTTTCAATCACTTTGACAGGGTACAACCTTATACCATTCATACTCCATGGGTCATTTTCTAGCTGTCTTGAGTTGATTATAAAAAGCAGCGGCAACAATACAGGAGGAGGTAGCGACTTACTCCAGTTTCCAGAGGAATCCTTGTACCTGAGGGCAACACCACCCAAGATATTCCTCTTGAGTTTTTTTTCTTTTTTAATCTTAAACAGCTTCAGGGAGTATGCTTATCTTAGCATAGCATGCTGCTGTGACTTGAATTTTCCATTTATTTCTAGCCTTTAGTGATATTCTGCACCATCTTACTATTAATTTCTGATATTAGTAATCAATAAGGTTTCAGTATTTTTCACATTGGCATGACATTCTGTTTCAGATAACTGATTTTAGCATGGTAGCTACAACCGTTCAGCGCTTTAAAGCCAAATTCACTGACATTACAACAGTTGATGCTGCAAGATTTTTTGACACACAGGCTCTGCTTCATTGTGTTGCTGCCAGACACTGGATGATCCATTCAATGTAGCACATGAAGTTCTTTAATATTATCTGACTTCTCTGCTCCCTTTACATTTGGCTCGTCTGACTGCAGAAGAAGAACGGAGCGATGGAAACGGATGACTTCCGAGCTTGCCTCATCTCAATGGGTTATGACTTGGTATTGCACATCTTCCATTATCAGCTGTTTCCATTCTTGTCCACTGTACGCGAAAGCTCGCATGCTCACTCTGAAATAATATCTGCTTCAGGGAGAGGTGGAGTTTGCACGCATCATGATGCTGGTGGATCCAAATGCAACAGGGATCGTCTCTTTCCAGTCTTTTATCGACTTCATGACCAGAGAGACGGCTGATACGGACACTGCCGAGCAGGTCGTGGCATCCTTCCGGATCTTGGCAGCTGATAAGGTGTGTGGGTTTGAGCTGCGGTGGCTGGCTGGCACCGGAACAGATATTTTAAGCTTTTCTTTTCCAGTCATCGTTTCCATGCCGTCGCCCTGCTTAGCATCTAATATTGTGCTCATGATCTCAACATCCAGTACCAGAGTCACTTTTGTCCACCCTCACAAATTTCTCATACGCCCGTTAACAATATGTGAAAAGTTTTAATGTGAATTTGTCTTTTCTTGCATCTGCATATCATGCGAAGCAATTCAGAGAAATTCAAGCTTTAACTTTTTTCCCCTTATTTTTAATTTTTTCAGAGATTTCAAGTTAAAAAATATTTGTTTTAAATAAAATTACATGTGGCTTAATCCATTTAAATTAAATGTAACTGAAGCATTTTCATCTGTATTTTTCTTTTTAACTTTATTGGAGTTTTTTTTTAAACATCTCTAATTCTGACTTTGTTTTCTGAGATACAAATGATACAGAGGCCCAGTCCTTTCAGAGCGGCAAGAACCCATATTTATCTTTCTCTTCTGAGAATGACAAAATACTAAGGGAAGTAAAATATATCTCCAAACAGCAAAAAGCGGCAACTTGAGGTCACTGGTTGCCATCTATATCTCTATGACAACTGGTTGTTTTGGTCTGAAGGTTTATCTCTCCTAAAATCACAAATGTAAAAATGTAAAGCTTGTTAAATTCTACCACACCTTCAACCCCAACTTGAGTTTTTCCACAACAAGCACTTCATGTGGATTTAGTGAGAACAAAGTATGAATATTTTCAAAGGCTCTGCTTGGAAACTGAATTTTTGATGCTAGGGGCCTGATTTTATGCCAAAAGCTCTGAGAACCTCATTAGTGTTCATGAAATCATAAAGCTTTTGAATACTATAAGATTTAAATAACAATCTGGTGACCTCTTGGGGAAATTACAGTGGGTTGTTACTGGGTCTACCACCAAGATAATCTTGAGTAAATGTCGCCAAATCTGTACAGAAACAGTCCAGTGGTACAAAACCAGTATTCTTCTAGGATTTAGTTTGCAGAAATCCTGAAACTTTATTTCATTCACCATGATGTATTCTATTTTTATTTTAAAAACTATCCTTTCATAGTTCTTTTCAGGAGTCAGATTTTACAAACGGACTTAATTTCCTTCCACATATTGTTGCCAATTTGTATATATCTTTTCTGCCTTTGCCTGTTCACCTCAACATGAAGAATGAAAGTGTGTGCAGACAGAGCCAGTTTTAATGGAAAAAATATATATAGCCAATTTTTCAAATTGATGCCGACAGTCTCTCACTGCCCCCCTGGTGAGTTTGTTGAAAAAAATATATATATCTGCCGTGTTTCAACAATTCACACCCTCCATCGAATAAATATACTCAAACAAAAACTTGAAACCACAATGAAGGGTGAATTTATTTCAAATAACTTTCACATACCTTTAGCAGGAATGGAGACAAATGTGGCCAGCAGCATCTCTCCTAAACTCAATTTTGTTTTCTCCCCCGTAGCCTTACATCCTTGTGGATGAACTCAGGCGGGAGCTTCCTCCTGAACAGGCGGAGTATTGCATCATGAGGATGCCTCCTTACAAAGGGCCTGGAGCTCCACCGGGAGCGCTGGACTACACCGCCTTCTCCACCGCCCTCTACGGAGAGAGTGACCTTTAGTTTGTGAAGACCTTTCGTCGGGCCATTTTCTTCCCACTCCGTATCTTTTAATTAAAATAACTAAAAGGCATACTGCATAGTGACTCCACACGTGTTGAATGAATACAATGCTTTCTTCAAAGCACCAAAAAAAAACCTTAGCCTTTTTTTTTTTTTTCGTGAAAAACCATAAATGCATTAGACATTACTATGAAAAATCCAAATAATTGAGAAAAAAAGGATTCAGCATTGTTCCTGAGTTTAGTTTTAGTGCTGGAAGAAAACTAAATTCCTCAGAATGCCTTCTATATTTATGAAATGTAATGTGCAGATAGACATAGATTTAGCGCATGTTGCTAAACACCTTCTCATCCTTGCGATGTTTAAGACCATGCTATAGGTTCACATTGTTTGCACGTTCTGTATGCATCCCTTTAATCCCTTGTAAAAGAGGTTTTAAATCTCAATGGATTTTTGTTTTATCCTGGTAAAATGAAAAACACAAGATAGCTCTGCTCTGAAGCTTACATTTTTATAGATCAGTTGAATTTTTGGGAGTTTCATAAAATAAACACCAAGCCGAATTAAAGACCTGAAACTTGAGATCAGGAGCAATAATTAAATTAAAACGTGGCAGCTTCTTATCATCTGTCTGTATTAGACGATCAAAAAAAAAAAAGCTTGTTCTGAGATATCAGATTAACCCACAAATTAACAGATAAACCTGGGAATTTCAGTCCAGAAAATTTGTGGTATTTTAAAATATATTGTGAGAATACTTTAGAGGACATCAAAATTACAAACCCAAGTTCCTTAGAAGTTCAAGTTCATGGTGTTTAGCAGAAAATCCATGACATGGTTTGGCCCCGATTTGTTTGAAACGCAGTGTAATGTTTTCATTTTTCCTCACAGTGGCTTTGTTTTGACAATACCCCTTTCCGATATGCCACTTTTAAGTGTTTAGAATGAATTATGGTTTGGAAAATGCTATTTCAGACCCACTGCCATCCATCAATAAACAGTAAGTTCCCAACAGGCCAGAAATATACATCACTAAACAGAAAAAAGGGGGAACCACATGAATGCAAAAGTAAATATTTACAGTGATTTTAATGCTCCTTAAGTGGAAAAACACAAAATATTAAATATGTAATATTCATTTTGGAAGTGACGTAAGGTGAAATAGTATTTGGCAGCAACATGCTGATTCCTCCACATAGAAATACAAAATAACTGCTGAGCAGCAAAGCATAAAGCAAATGAAAGTACACTTTTGCACATTTAGAAAAGATACATAATGAGAATTTTGTCTTTTCCTTTGTTTTGAAGCATATATTAGTGGAACTCCCTACACCCTGAACGGCAACACAAAATATGTATCCTCTTGTAGTTTTCATATTGGATTGCATTTACGGAATAAGCATATGTAGGTCTGCAGCATTAAAGTTTGTCTGTTTTTCATTTGGCTTTATTACTATTTTAATAATGTAATTAAGTAAATGTAATCAAAATTGTATTAAATTCCACCTTCATGTTGAAAATTGTCAATTCACATGAAATAAAAATCATTTGGCCCTGTGACCATGAACCTTTTTCCAGTTGTACATCAATTAATAAATAACTTCAATAAAGTATTGTTGCCAAATTAATTCTTTCTTTGAGTCTGGTGGATTATTGCTTGAACTGTATTTATAATTTGACTTGTTAATGTTTATATGAGATGTAAATATGTCAACGAATGAAAGCTCCTGTGTCAAATTAAAATATGAAATGTATAGTTGAAGGTTTTCTTTTTTTTTTTCCAAGGATGCACATGAATCAACTCAGTTTGTTACAAGTGGGTAAACATCTTTGGCAATTAATATTTCTTTCAAATAACATGGTTTGAAGCACCTGATGATACTTATATTTCTGAAATTGCAATATCACTTATAAAGTCACAGTCAGGCTTGAATTAATATATTTCTGAAAAAAAAATCAGTAAATCAGTTGATTATGTTTGCTTTTCAGCACCTGAAGGGCATAAAACTGAAGACTGTTGAGCTGTTCAACCTCATTATGCTCTTGCTGGACTCCACATGAAAAATGCATGTTTTCTGGGGGAAAACATGCATTTCTAGGTTTCTAGTGTCATTATTTGTGTGAACAGAAAGAAAAAGATTAAACATATTCCCATTCTTTTACACCGTCACTGAGTTTTCTGCTTGAATTAAGAAAGTAATTGCATAGGTCTCTAAATGTAAAGCTTCCCTTCTAATGAGAAAAAAAAAAGCTTTGCCAATAACCTTGCTGTCTTTTGGATTTAAGTTAATCATTGACTAAATTAAATGGCATATAAACATTAAACTAATACTTTCTGTATTTTTTTATATTAACGTTACATTACTGGTCGTGCCAATATGGTAGGTGACACAATCTGGGGAAAAAAACGAGCTCTTCTCCGTTCTCCCAGTGTTAACTAAAAACATCCAATCAGAGCCTGGAGGCGGGTCTTAGAGCTGTCAATCATGATCTCCACTCCTACACGTCTCTCCATGGAAGGGGGTATGGGATTTGTTAGCATAGCCACCGATGACGATGGACAAAATGTTTTTTTGTTTTTTTCCTGTAATTGCAAGTTGGTTACAGCATTAAAAACTTCCTCCTGGCTCTGATTAGAGCGTTGCATTTCTTCAGGTGGCAATAATATCATTGAGGAGGCAGAGGAAATTGATCTTTTCACAGATTATCTGTCTCATAACATGTTGTGAAGACATGGTGCCGGTTTTACAAATGTGTAAAAAAATATTCTTTCCAAAAAAGTTACAGCTTTAACGCCAGTACTACTCTCTACCTGACAGTGGCCATGCCTCCCTTCCAAAGATGCAAGACAGTGATGGAGATAATGAGATATTTACTGCCATAAGTCATAATTTGGCACACATTCACCACAATGGCTCACCAGAGACAAAGTTGATTGTTTCTTCACTTTCCCTGAACGCAGCAGCTGGTAAAAATGGCGTTGTGAGGTAATTGGTCGATTACAGTGACACCGCCCACAAGCTGAAGGCCCTGCTCCCTGTTTTCTGTTTTTATTCTTTCTGTCAACTCCAAACTTCCTGAGCCTCTTGAGGTCTCCTCAGATGTGACCTATTTTAGTTTAGGAAATGAGGGCCACAGGAGAGGGTGAAGACGAGGGACAGTTTTTACGGACGGTGAGTCACAAAGTCAAACTAGATGTTAACTGTTAAAAGTCTAATTATTTCCAAAAGACCTTCTAATAGAAAAACAAAACAGAACTAGTATTTCTGTGTTTTGAGATATTAACCTCCAGGTAACACAAAATTTATTTAAGGTCAAGATATAGTGTTGTATTTTATTTCTAAGGATATCAGTTGAAAATCTTCATTTTCTTTTTTGTATTAAATTAGCAAAAAAAAAAAAAAAAGAAAAAGAAAAATCCCAAATGAATTTAAATACCTGCTGCCTTACACCTCCTACTGGTTCTCTAACCTTTATTTTTTGTAGTTATTGTGGCAAAAAAGAAACAATAAAAACTGTTTTTTTTCTTGTTCTCACTACAAGATGTTTTTCTTCTTGGTTGTCCTCTTAAACTTTGTAATCTTTACCTTCTGATAGTAGCATGTCACAGTGGAGGCAAGACAAACGCACATGCGGATAATTGTGTTTAATTGATCCATACTTTTGCTGCCATACATGGTGTTTTTTATTCTTGACAAATCTCATGGTTAGTTGGTAGATGGCAATAGAAATCTATGCTAGCACTCCAATCTATGAAATAGATTACTTGATCAAGTTATTTTTGAAATTTTGCTGTTCAGAAGAAATGTATTTTGTTTTTTTCCTGCCTTATTTTTTTTTTTATCAGAATTGAATTGCTTTACATACAAGGTGCCTGTATAATAACCTTTTCTAAGATGTGTAGACCAGACTTTGTAATTTCTTCCCTGTGCCAAAATTTGAGAAAAATAATTGTCCACTTTCAAAAACTTTTTCCATTCGCCATTCCATTGTTCCATGGTGAATTTTCACATGTTGGATGCACAGCTGTCCTCAAGCCCATCAGAATGGGCAACCTGAGCTCTGGGCAGTGTGTTCGACTGATTGCAATGCTCCTGCTGATATGAGGAGTGGAAAGACGGTCGAATCAGGGGGTCAGACAGAGAAGTGCCTTCCAGATATGGCAGTGTACCGAGAGCACCGAGAGGTGTTGGCATTCCTGGTCATCTGTGATTCTTTTCTTGCACTTCTTTAAATAGATAGAGATGTCTAATTGGGTTGGCGTGATGCATGTGGTTTTTGAATGGGGATAAGATAAGTAGATGTGTATGTCCAGATCTACTGTACATACAGTTTCAATAGAAATAAAATGCATCATCCATATCAGTGCTCATTTCTGAAATATTTTCTTTCAGAATCTAAAGTTGTTTTGCACACACTATCTTGTTGTCATCTCTGTGTGTGTTTGTGGTTTTTCTTTCCCTTCCTTAGGGAGATGAGGTGGTTTTGCAGAGCACCTTCACCTCTAATAGCGAACATTTGAAACTCTGTCTTGCTGCTGAAGGATTTGGGAGCAGGCTTTGCAGGCTTGAACCCACTTCAAACTGCAAGGTACAAAGCTCCACCATGGTGATTTCGCTGTTCCTCCTCACTGCTCTTTGTCCTCCTTTTTGACACCAATGGGAGCGATGCCTCAAATAGTGTCATTTTTCTTTTTTTGAGCTGTTGAATTTTCTATGAAATAATATAAAATTATTTGTCATTTATTTATAATTTTGAAAAATTATTTTATTTTACAACTGTTTCTTGTACTTTCATTTTTGCTAATTAATTACATGTAGTATGTTTAAAAAAAAAAAAAAAAAAGCACAGTGTACAATAATTTTGATCGAAACATTTTCATTTGCTAAAATGGCCAAAATTAAACCGATGGAGAATCTGTATATTTAAAATATTTAGTGCTGTTCAATTGCATAAAATCTAATAAAAATGCTTTCAAAATGTAGGTTTTTAACATGGAAAGATGTGGAAAGGTTTTTCTATGTGATCATTGGCAGGTAAATCAAGCATATGCACTCTTTAAATTATAGATTAATCAATCTTTTGGCTTGCATATGTCAATTTGTATTTGATTTGTTGTTGCTTATTATATCATTGGTCTGGAAAGGAAACAGGCTCACATGAAAGTAGTTTAGAAAGTTTTTGTGTTCTTTTATTTCCTGCCAGAATGTTCCTCCAGACTTGTCTGTCTGTGGCTTCGTCCTGGTTCAGTGTCTCTCTGTTCGAGCCCTGCAGGAGATGCTGGCCCACAGCGAACAACTGGCAGCAGAGGTGAGAATCTGTTCCCTTCTTGTTGCTCTCAGTGAACCTTAATGAACGAATTTGCTGGCTCATGTTCTGGCAGCGTAATTTTGGGGCATGATTTACCTTAATTTAAGATTATCCGGTCAATGTTTATTGTAAAATAGAGTTAAGTCAATGTTTTCCTTAGAAATAATTTGTCACATTTCTTATTGTTTTGGACTGTTTATTTGTTGTTTCTTGTAATTTTGGGCAGGTTTTGACATGTAAACACATTTATCTTTTTCTGAAGATAAGTGTGTAGCTTCCTTATTGTCTTGTCTTTCCCATCTTGGAGATCTGTTAGTGGAAACCGACTTTTGTGTCACAGCATATCTACACTCTGCCAGAACAGGAAGTCAAAGATTACTTGTTAAAATATTGAAGTTGCACCTGATGGAACTGCTGAGGTTAAACAAACTACTTCTAAGTCAAACACTCCTAAGAATGTTTGGAAACAACATAATTTATCAAGTCAAGGTTTCCCCCAGAAAACTTGCAAAGCCCGGTGGTTGGGTGCTACCATTCAACCAGCCGCCCTTTGTGTTTTTCAGTTAAAATATGTTTAAAGTTGACAGGAAATTTGAAAATATCACTTAATAATTATGTGTTATTGAAAGACTTATACCTGGGCACCCACCATAAAGTCTTAAAAAAGCAAACATTTTAAAAATATGTAAGTAAATAAGTAATGCTTAGCCTGGTGGCCTGCCAGGCTTATAATACACTGGGAGAAACCCTGAAAGGCGTAGTAGAGATTATAAATTATTTTGAAATTATTTAGAAATGTTTGATATATACAGCATTTTTCTAACAACTGAAGATGACATATCTACTTAATTGTGCTATTCAATGGAAAATACATACATAGGCCGTTTTACACATCTGGATGTCTAGATTTCTTGCAAAAGTGTCTAAAACTTTTCTTTTTTTTTTAAGACACAGCAGCTTCAAAATATAGAAAACAAAAAGATCCAAGGCTTCAAAACTGTAGACGGAGGCTGATTTTATAGTGACACTGTCCTTGGTTTTATTTTAGTAACATTAAAATAACAAGATGCATTTTGAAAGACATTGTGGGCTGATTGTTATTTTTATTTTTTTACTTGATATTTTCTCTACTTCTTAGTGTCTTGAAATTAAACAAATACATATATTTTAACAATTATAAACCGACTGATGGTGATTTACAGGCAAAAACTGGAGTTGCCCATCGCACTCTGCTGTACGGCCAGGCAGTGATGTTCACACACTCCTTCAGTGGCATGGTGAGTTTGAGATATTCAGATATTTACATGCTGTAGAAAGA